TATTGAATCCTACAGACGTAGTCTCCCTCTGCTTTCTTGATCCTCTATATGTCTCCACGTTTTTAAATGAAATGACCTAGTAAGGTTATTCGCTCTGTTATTGGCGTGTTTGTTGGCCAATCCATCTTTTCGTTGCTTTCATTTTGTTTTCCACGCAGAATAAAATCAATTCCATGACAGCACCAAGAGAAAAAAGAAAATCGGATGCACTAGTATATTACTAGACCTGGAAATTCGAACTGTCATCTAGTCTAGTACATTTTAAAGGCAGTTGGCACGATGGTTTCCTACTTAGCCTAAAATGCTAGTAGGGCGCTGTATAGTGGGGAAATGGCGAAAGAACGGAGTGAAACGGTCAAAATCCTGCGAAGAAAAAGCCTCCGTTCTCAGTGACTTGTAAATCGATTTCGGACGAGTTTCCCGTAGGCATCTTACCAATCACCGCTACCGAAGATACGGCTGCATATTTGTACCCATATATGCATGCAGCATCACCGCCGCTTCATACCAATCCCTTCGCTTCATAATTTGCTCAGCAAATGAATGAATACGAGCGTCATAAACGGTCGTCCGTTAGTGGGCGGCTGCGTTTTGGGCGGTTGGGGCGTGATTTGTGGCTTGATTAGCGCCTTATAAGTGCACGCTCCCTTGAAAAAGCACTATGCAGCGCTTGCTCAGGGCACGCGATTCCGTCTGCAGGGAGTATTGATCCTGGTCATCTTGGAGAAACTGCCTTTAACATGCTGTGCTCGTATGTATACAGGCGCAACGTCTTTGAACGCAGCGGATAGTATACAGTAAAGTAGTGAAGTACTGCCTCAATCATCTACCCGGAAATCGACCTACTTAACTATTTTCTCACCTGTAACTTTGACATTGCTGGTTCCGAACATCAACATGTAGAGAGAGCGCTCGATTGTTCTTCGGCATACGGTAGGAGAACTCGACGAATCCTGGCCGAACAAGTTTTGCAGAGAAGGACAGACGAGAAATGCACGGTGATGGAATGTACAGCAGTTCTGCATCGCGAACAATCCATCCGGTTCTGAAAGAACTGAAGGTTGATGACATGCTTAATGTGACTGCAAATGATTATGTCTCTCTGTGCAGAAATATTTCTGAGCTCATTGAAAGACATCATTTTCAAACTTTTTTGAACGAAAAGGAAAGCCTGAAGAAGTGGCGAGAGAGCGAAGCGAATTGCTGTCTGAAGAACGGTCGCGTTCAGCAATACTAGCCGTGAAGGGAAAGGAATGACAGTAATAAGTGCCACCGCCAGAGACGAGGATCCTATCCCACACTGGATCTGCTAACAAGGGCGCTGTTTATCGACGGGGGGCATTTTGTATTATAATTGCTTCCCTGGTTCCGGTTTACAAATCTCACTCTGGTAAAACTTGTGAACGCTGTGAAGCTGGAGCAAGATCGTCTAGCCACCATCCTAAAACGTGTCAACTCGAAAAAGGGTACCTAGATGGGTGGATGGCAAATCTATGAAAAGCAGAATGCCCCGTCGATAAACAGCGCCCTAGCAAGTCACCCCTCATTCCTCACGTGTGTAGCGACGAAAAAAAATTGTTTGTTACAGAACCACAATGCCTGGATATAAGCAAACTTCAGTGGCAAAATGAGAACCAGTGTCGATAAGTCTCTGGTTAGTTTGAACCGGTCCTCGAGGAGTATCTATCTTGATGTTTTTTGAAGTGCATCAAGTTCACCCGCCCACCTCGGGGCTCCCTGAGCTAGGCAATTCCCCATACCTGAGTTCTTATAGTTAGTCATACTTGTGCCTTACCAGAGCTGAATGTAAAATCGAACAAGAAAAGCAGAAGATACTATCACCTTGCTTCGCTTGATGATTCAAAATAACCATGTATTTCATGTAAAAAAACGCGATTTATTGTCGGTAACTCTGCCCAAAGCGTGCACGATTACTCCCTCGCCCTCCAATCAAGCGGACAGGTTCGTTTTCCTTCAAGGTACATAATTTTTTTATGATACATTTAGGACTGACTCTGGTGGACAAGGTTCCATTCTTGCCGGTGTTGCGTCCAGCTGAAATGGAATCGCATCAATTCTCAACAGCCCCCCACCCCCCCCCCGCCCCCCCCCCCCCCCCCCTGAGAATCCGGGGGAAGGTATAAGAATCCTCGAACCGTGATTCCACCTCCGAGGCTGTCATGCCTAAAAAAAGTACTTAGATGATGTAGTAGATCTAGAACGCGTGACATCATTGCACCCTGGTTTGCCACTCTGTTCCACACAAACTCGGCCAAGCTCAAGCCTTGATTGTTAACGTCATAGCGAAAGTGTCACACTTTTTATGCGCAGCCCGTTATATTTTCAAGAGATGGACTTCATGCGCTTCCGTTCGAGAATGCTCACTTGATTTCGTCCATTGCGCTCGAGTGCGTATAAAGGCAAAAACAAAACGAAAAAAAAATGTTGGGAGCCCTCCCCATTCTTGTGTAATCAATCTGTGGGGAGCGAAAATATCGCCACAGTAGAAGAAACGTTCAGATGCAGAGAAAATCGAATTTCATTAAATGTTTCGGACGCGCTCGTTCGCCCACCATTTCCAAAGAATTGCTTTGCCGAATAAGTTTTTGCCAGCGAAATCTCATGAAGCAGCCCTAAAACAGCCTGCCCCTGCAAAATGTTGTATTGCAAGCAATATTCAACAGAGCAAAACAGTACAGTGGCGCGGGAACGATGACTCTTCTTCTCAGGCTTGTCTTACAGCTCGAGGCCGCTTGCGGTTACAAGCAGGCTTAAACGTGTAGTCGGGGAAGCGAGTAGCACTAGCTCGGCTGGCTTCGTGCGCATTTGAAGATAGTTGGCGCCTTTCCCGAACAGGCAGTTAATCAGGAGAAATGGCGTTACACTACCACGCAAACGGGTACAGCATCGTAATGTGTGAAATGGTGTGCCAGTACGACCCTTCCCTCTCGAGCGAAGGCATCTTTGGTTTGAACCTGCTCCTCCCCAGCCACTACTCTACCAGTCGCCACCCAAATCCACATTTTCCAGTTTTTCACAAGCATTTTCCGTTTTCCGTCGAGCGGGGGGCGGGGGGAATTTACATATAATAATACATAAGAAACAGGCAAACTCACGCGAAAAGTCAACCGGCAGAAATTTTTTTCCCAATGCGGCCAATTTCTCTCAAAGGCTCAAGGGCAAATACGACCCCCCCCCTACTCCCAGAAACGACGAATACCTTACCCCCTCCACCGAACAAGTACGACTCCCACCCCCATGTTATGTTCAACAACGACGCTGATGCCCGGATCGCAAAGACGTGAAACTCACTAATAGAGTGGGACACCGCTGAAGAAGAGAAATATTTTTAAATTCCACAGCTGTAAGCTTCAGTTCCGGGCCCTTTGTAGGTCGAATACGGGCCCCTTTCGACAGGCTAGAGTGCAAACCACACGGTCCGAACTACTGTTAAGGCAGCCGCCTGGATCGAGCCCAAACTCACATTCTCAGCAAAGTGGCTGCTCGACGACAGTAAGGATGAGTACGCGTAATGAGTATGTCTAGCAGAATTTTGTGAAGGTAAGTGCAGTGCAGTCCTCCTATAATATTAGCAGTCTCCTTGGGAGCTGTTCGGCGACGGGGAGGGGCGCTGACTGCTTCGCTACCTCCGGTTGACAAGTTTCACTCTGGTGAAACCTGTGAACTCTTGTGAAGCTGGAGCAAGCTCGTCTAGCCACCATGGTAAACCTGTCAACTCTTGTAAGCTCATGAAATAGCTCTCTAGATGCTCGACAGTGGGAAGTAGCAAAAGTACGAGACGCCCCCCCCCGTCGCCGAGTTGCGCCGTCTTCTTGAACCCTTCAGGAATCAAACAGTTATTTTCATAAAGTGCACGCTTACCTGGTGGACATGGTCTACAAGACTCCGTCATAATATCCAAGTAGTTTCCTGCCGAACATGAGAATGCTAAAAAAACAGTGGTAGTTCCAATATCCCTTGTACTCGCGATCAGTAGCAAAACTTACAGCAATTGAGACCCTTCGTGGGTTCGGGTAAACCGTCGCAGACGGTACCATGAAGAGGTACTGCTACTCGCCATCGAGAGCCATCTGGTCCACATTCAGTGTATTCGAAGTCATAGTCAGAGGGAACACAACGCCGAGCCGAGCCCAGCGGTGTTAGACATAGAAGAAGAAACCTAAGAAATATAACGCGAGAGTGTGATAGCATACAGCACTGAAAACAAGGTCCCTAAGCTAATGAGCTGTTAAGAAGCTTCATAGTAATCCAGGAAGGTGCTGTGCTTACTGCTTCAATATCGCGTTTTAAATGAACGCTCTGAAAAATGCTTCGCCACACTTGTCGTTTATGTCATTTTGGTGCGCAACGTTTTTCACCTATGTATCTTCCATCCACCACATGCATATCGAAAGAGCGGAAGTGTGGGTCCAAATGGATTCATATATTCAAAAATGTACTGCCAATAAGATAAAAGAAAGTTTAGCCAGGAAGAATTTTGCTATAGAGGGTTTCCTTCGAGGAAAAACCTTTTCCACTCGAGAATAGAAAACTGGCGTTACATTCCGGGATACCTGAAGTGAAATCTTTCCTGTGTGTGAGGAGAGCAGAACCGCAGCCGCATAGAGTGTTCGCCATTCGAAAGTGGGTTGTATTGGCGCTAGGGCCTTGCGATAGCCGGGAAGCTCCGCCATATTAACGGGTATCGTAGCGATATGCATTTTACTGACTTACGCCGTGGAACAAAATTCGGTGAACGAGTGCTTACGGCTGGGCGCTCGTCACGGCTGAGGTCGTCTCTGCGTCTCTACTCTGTACGCCCGCGCCAGTCACAAAGTCGAAAAATCATCTGTTTCAGCCTCTACTTTTTTTATTGGTTTGCTCTAAACTCCATTTACCTTGTACTTTTTGCTTGTACCATGGCATTACGTGCTTCTATCAGCAAAATGTGCGTGAATCCGATCCAAGGAGAAGACCGATTTGTTTTTTTCTTCAATCAAAACCGCTGTAAGTAGTCGCTGATTAGGTATTGCGCTAACAACAGAGGTGGAAACAGTTACAGTCGTCATCCGGGCAGTTGATTAGGCGGTCAAAGGGTCGCAGACGCGGCTGCGGCGCGTCACGACCGCGGCGATCAGCTGTTTCCAGCCTATTTAGCCATTTTCTCCCTAATTTTCACTGTATTATTTATTTTTTAGTAAGGTTTAGTGTATGTTTCTCCAAAGGTAAGTTGTTTTTGTCTTAATGAAGTGTATTGGGACGTAGATTCGTTTTTTGTTTGGGTAATGAAGTGTTTTCGCGCTTTTTTTAAATTAATGTTTAATTGTTTGTTTAATTATTCAATTGTTCACGAAAATCAGAGAATCCTAATCACGAATTTACCTAATGAAGACAAGGAACAACTAATCCAAGAAAAGCAACGCAGTGAATTAGGGAGAAAATGGCTAAATAGGCTGGAAACAGCTGATCGCCGCGGTCGTGACGCGCCGCAGCCGCGTCTGCGACCCTTTGACCGCCTAATCAACTGCCCGGATGACGACTGTAAAACCTTGTGGGTCATTTCAAGTCACCTGCATAGTTATGCCTGCTTTCGCTACTCTCGTTTCGCCACAAAAAAACGCGAGACAAATAGACATATCTGACAGATCTTATACATCAATCTGTAGTTTTTAAAGAGCTTCTGAATTAGTATCACTTGAATGGCCGACGTAAAAATACTAAAAATACCCGGATACTGCCTCTCGATACTGTGTCTCTTGCCTTGCTGCCCTCAAGGTGCAGCACTTGGGTCGAAAGCAAAATCCCGTAGCGAACAGGCAGTTAGAAGCAGAGAACAACTAGAAGTGAGAGAGTGCAGAGGAGCGCCCGTTCGACTATGGTTAGGCGTGTGGCCGTGCTTCAGCATAAGCGGCGTAAGGAGGCGACATCCGGATCACTACCCTGTAGCTCCGTTCCTGTGCACTTTCGAGCGGAGAACCCATTTACCATTTACCTCGTACTAAGCAAGCAAGGAACAGAACCCACAGGGGTAAGTGTGGTTTGTCTCTAAGCTCTTTTTTGTATGCTCATGCAGTGCCTGAAGTCAGCTGTGAAAAAGGGTGCCTTGCTTTTGAAGTTCATCGCGGCTTTTCTTAGCCTTTTTCTCAGTTGCACTCCTACAATATCATTACCAAAGCCCAGTACGCACAGTGTGTCAGCGTAGTACAGCAGTTGTTTCTCAGCATGGAGACTCCTTTCAAAAGGAATCATGTGGTTAACTCGTGGAATTCAAGCGGTCGAGAGCATTTGAAGGCCAAGATAAAAAAGTGAATGCTTTGCAACGCAATTTTTGTGTAATGACTGTTGTTTTCCGCGACATTCGTAGAGGATTCTAAGAAAATCACGTGAAGCTATGACGTGGTGGATTTCCCCCCGAGGTGACGAAAATGGAAGGTTTTCCAATCAGTCAACGAAATCTATTTTACAATGTGGTTGCCAGGGCGTCAACATCCAATTATGCCAGCTATCATACAAAAATAGTTAGGGAATGTTGCAAACATCACAGTTGACTCTTTCATAAAAATGAACAACATTAAAAAATGCATCTGAGAAAATTTTCGGGATCACATGAATGAGCTGAAGTAATAGATACAGGAGAGCGACTACGCCAACACGCATGATGGATCCTTCGAATATTGCCTTTTTGTTATGTCATATTCATCTTTACTGCACAATACTCAAGACCGCAGCGCATCAATCGTTTCCTCATTTGAGAATCTTATTTGCTGAAGTTCATAACTACATGCTTAAAGGCAGTTCGCACGATGATTTGGTGCTCGGCCTAATGCTATTAGGGGGCTATATAGTGGGGAAAATGGTGAAAGAACGGAGTGAAACGGTCAAAATCCAGCTAATCAAGAGCCTCCGTTCTCAACGAGTTAGAAATCAACTGTGCACGAAATTGCTGTAGGCATCTTGCCAATAACCGTTACCGAAGGCACGGCTGCATATGTGTACTCCGGCGCTGTTTATCGACGGGGAGGGGG